GAATAGTAAACAAATGAAGTGTCAGTCATCATTTGGGTTCTAGTTTCCGCCATCTTTCAAAGTAGATTGCTTAACTTAAAATATTTTGACAGAATCAAGGGGATAGAATGTAAACAGGGGGACCACCACGTCCCACAACCGGTACGCCTAACATAAACGCCTTCAGCGCGATCGGTTTTAAAAGAAAATAAGGATAACAAATGACTTGAAACGAACACATTTCCAAGCGGAAATAATTGATTTTTAAGAGTTTAAACTGTGCTAAACTTCTAATCGATGGATAGTTCACACCCTTTTCACCCTATAAAAACGAACGGTGAGCAGTCAAATCATTTTTTATGCGACTAGGTTAAATCTACCTGCTGCTTATTACTTCTATAGCTGGATTAACCTTCATTTTCATTCATAACGGAACATGCAGCAGATGTTCACAATATGGTTCTACGAAAGCTTTACAAAGTGGATCTTCTTACAAACGACACACTTCTGCCAATTATTTGGCACCGACACGCACCAGATTTGGCACTATTTTCACCAATTCAAAGTGGTATTTTCGATAATTAGCCAAAACCGTATTGTCGGGAGCACTCGAGACGCGAAGTCTTCGAGAATAACCTAAAATACTCTCTAATAGTACATTGGCGGAGCGAGTGGTTAAAAACGAAGTTAACTATCACAGTGTTTTTTTGAGAAGTGTTTGAGAAACTTAGTATAGGGGGGAAACCGAATCTGGTTGATCAAGCTGGAAAATATCCAGAGTGTGTAATGAACGATTTTTCGTTCCCGTGTTGGGTGGGATTGTTGAAGAGTGATGCGCTGCCAGTTTTGTTTGAAAGTATAATAAATGCAGTGGTATCAATCGAACAGCGGCATGTAATGGGGTGTAATAAAGCTGGGGCAAAGTGAAAGAAACATTATGTGGTATATAACGTGCGAATGCAGAGGGAATCCGAGCCAGGGATGTATGATTTGCTGGATCAACGCATCACCAGCTGAGCCACTGATTGAGCTATTGATCTAGTAAATCATATATCCCGAGTTTCAGTCTTGATGAACTTCAATTTTTCTGTGCCAGTTGTTCGCGTTACTGCTTAATGCTTTTATTGCTTTCAATAACATTAGAAAGGATCTCCAATATTACGAATTTCTTTTGTCATACAGCTTTACGCGTTAGATAATATTCGCAGTGAGGATACTGAAGAAATAAAAAAAGTGATATTTTGAGGCAAATCCCTGCTTTCTCATTCCATAATATAAAACAATGAATACTCGTTCCGACATCCACGTGTGCGTCAGCATGCATAAAATATTGAGTTACGAGTGTTTATAGCCGCCGCGACGTGAGACATCCTTTCCTAAGCAATTGCCTACCCTACACAGCGTCTATTTATAATTTAATAGGATCCTTACACCCTTTAAGGTAAATAAAAAAGTATGCATTTTTTCCGCGTTATTCGTGCGTTTAATTATTTAACGTGCAGGGGTCGCTCTGGCACTGCGTGCTGGTGAAGAATGCTCGAATTTATCTGGGTTTGATTTACACTTACGCCCATTATTTGGAAATGGATTGGTATCGATTTACAGAGGCTACGCCACAACTGGAGAGCGGAATAGGTATACAAAGCTGGAAGCTGTAATTGTTCACCAATACATGAACCAAACGATTTTGCATAATAACAATGGGAATTTTACCATGCCTTTGTCCCCGACTCGATAAATCCTTGTCAAGATGGAGGATACTCAGCACCGCATTCACCGCGCAGAAATTTAATTGATACAAAAATATCCGGTCTAATATCGTATGATCAAGTTGAATTCAACGCGTAAGCAGACATAAAACAAACGAACACAGTATTCCTAATTTACCTCTTACGATGATACCATGTGCTTTCTCGTTTATTCCATACTGACGAAAAAGTACTTGTCCGGAACTATTCTACAAAATCTAAACTAAGCTAAAGCTTCTAGTTATCTGAAGACAAACTATTAGGTTGTAAATTTAATGTGATTAGTATCCCTAAATGTATTCACATCGATATGGTACACAACAATTTGGTGCTCTAATCCTCTTGCCTATAGTCTGCTTAAAGGCCCATTCGTAGGACCTCCAAATCGATATGTAATGCTCTACGTGTTAAGTTAACAGAACTACATAGTATGTGTAGCTGAGTAACGAAAAAATCAAAGTAACTGAGTGAAAGGTAGCGGGAAATCCGGCAGCTACCGAGAACAAGTCTTTAATTTTTAAATATATAGTTACCGTGTATTTAGTAGGAGTGAAGCTCGCTCCCGCCCCCTACATGCGCCCGTGACACATCCCGGTTTGACAAAACCTCCCTATTTTGCAGCAGTGGTTGATCAATAAGAAAATTGCAGTGACCTCTCAAAGGGCTTTCACAAAAAGCGTTGCATTGCGAGTTTTTTATTATTATAATCAAGGGACTAGTATATAGGTGGTTCCTTTGAAGTTGCCCAGCCAGCTAGCATGGATGTCTGGTGGAAGGATCAACCCACTACCGCTGCACCGAGACAAATGTGCGAAATTTATGTTTGAATGGGCCGGAATGAATGCCCTTCCCAAGCGTTAGATCGCCAAAGAGATTGATGAAGCTCCGATTGAAACAGACGGCTCGTGTGTACGTATTTCTCCATGCCATCGATCCGGTAATTTGACGGGGAACGTACCGATTTTACTTCCCCTGTAGAGTAATTCTGCCCGCTGAGCAAAATCTTCACGCCATCAAATATTTATTTAAATAAAATAGCAATACACGGAAACATGCCCCAGAAATTGCCAGCGTTCACCTTCTTTTCATTCCTGCACAGATATTATCAAACAAAACACCTTCAGAAATTATGACGGCTTTGTTGCCCGGAACGACGATACTGATTGCGAGAACGAGACAGATAATCGAGACGAGAGTTATTAAAAGTGTGCTGAATTATATCGCACCCCACATTCCACCCACTATTCGTTTGACAAGATCCGATAAACACGGAATATCAAAAAATGTAAATAGAAGTTGAAGAGACCCCGCATAAATATGTATATAGCTTCCACAGCTGGTTGAACAAATAATTGTATAGCGTGTCATTATGTCACATTATGTATTAACGCTACCTCACCCTGCCTTTATTGCTTTTAATCACACCCAAATTTTTACCTTCGACATACCCGTCATAAACATGAAATATCACCGTTTTAAGAACACGATGAAACTAACAATTTTTCATTCATTAGCCATTGTTCAATACTAACGACTCCAAACAAAACACCGCCATTGTTTTTTTGATGCTGCGAAATGTTAACTGTGTTCATTTTCGTAAAACAAAATCAACCTTTTTATTTATTATTGAGACCGAAACCATACACCGCATATTCCGCCTAAAATTATCCTTACAACTTTGGACGCAAAACTACGAACGCAAAAATACTCTAATGGAATTCAAATGAGGTACACGTAATATATATATCGTACAAAGAACGCATATAAAACTTGGATTCCCCGTGAAACTCACCTGAAGGACTGTCACGCGTGCGTAAATTTAAAAGTTCTCTAATCGAGTTCGAACCCAGTAAATACAGTGTTTCCACGATACAAATGACGCATACAATATGTAGGCTCCCTACAAATTACGTCAAGAACTGTCACTGTTGCGAGATCTTTTTAATATCCTACCAAACTTTAACTTCGATATAAAACGCATATAAAATTTAGGCTTCCTACGTCAGTCATCCAGAAGACCGTCAAGGGTTGGAACGTTAAAAATAATCCAGTCAGGTTTCAACTCGATCCACAGAATATATTGAACTACAAACTAAAAAGTGGCCATTATGGGTGTCAAAACACAATATACACGAGTGACCCGAGGAGTCCAGGGTTTATCGCAGTGATTAACCCTTGGTATTCTCACTTGAGCTGTGCCTAAGGTTCGGACCAAGAAGGGGCTACAGTATGAGTTGAAGTATATGAAAAGCCTGCCTCGTTGAAGGTTTAAATCTACCAGGGTACCTAGGTTTTAAGCCCGGAGTTGATTTCCCGTCAAATATTTTCACTATGGGTCCTGCTCAAACCAGAGCTCCTTGTCTCTGCATGTTTGTGTCCATTTTGAGTGTTTGTCACTCGGTGAAGGGGCGGGTAGTTACATAGTGCGGGTTCTCTCACTTTAACGTCGATATAATGTAGTGCGGGTTCTGGTTCAGGTCAACTGAGGTCAAACTGAGCCAAAACCGGCCATATATAACTATTGCAATTAATATCAGCTACCATTTGGTCAGTTTGGAAGAGTGACCTTAGCAGCCACTGCTACACCTGTGGACAGAATGGATTTCGTGGTCTTGAAATTGTATACCATTTAAGGGTTACGTCAGTGTTCTGCAACTACCCAAAAACAAATTATCTGCTTTATTAAAAATCGAATTCATAATGACAAGCATCAAAAACAATGTCTAACAAAGTTACGACAAAATATAATTGGGGTGATAAGTTTAATATTTCAAAATTCAATATAAAGTTCGGATCCAGTGACATCAATCAATGATCGCAGGTGAACAAGAGACGATTTAGTAATTGTTTCATCAACAAAGATGCTATATTATATTATAAACATATTTACTATGATAATTATGATGCACCACTACACAAAGTAGGAGTTGACAGTTACGAACTAGATTTAAAATTAAAATTTCTTTCATACGCTTTGCAATATGAACTGAATTCGTGCATTCTCCTACAGAAACTTCAAATATTGCGAATTTAAGGTCACAAGAAAACTTGTCGAGAAATAGGGCGAAAATACCAACTACCGGTCCATTATCGCTTTAACGTTGAAACAGATCAAAGTGCATCGCTTTGCCTTTGAAACAACGACAAACAGCCAAATTGATCCCAACAATTTGAATAATTGGCGTACGTTGCATATAAACAGGCATAAATGTCAGATTTAAAAACACTTTGTGCGCTTCACTCCTCTAAATGTCAGCATTCTCTTAATTCCAGTGGTCAACCAACATTATGAGGTACAGGTGTACCATACACATGTGTCAGCAGGAAACACTGCCGTGCTGGGTTGCGTTATTCCTGCATTCGTTAAGGAACACGTGAGCGTGACGTCTTGGTCAAGGGACGAATCAATCCTTTTACCTGGTTCGAACATGGGTGAGTATGTAATTAACTAATTAATGATTCTCGATAGGGTTTCGCGTGGATTAGGTTTCCGTGGCACGCTGGGGTTTGGACGGTAAGTTTATTGATGCGGGACGTTTAACACAACGGTAAATAGATCTGTTTCAGATGAGTTGAGTGGCTTATCCAGGAGGGGTTAACTGGTAGTAGCTCCTCCCTCCTAATGTTTTCTGGATATCGCGTTTCGGGGTGTTAGGGTCGATTCCGGGGAAACAGCCACGACAACACGGTAAAAAAAGCATACCATGGGAAATTCGGTTATTAACTTAGAATATAGGCTAGACAATAACAAAAGGGAATGCAGGTATGAAATAACGACTAGGAGAAAGTTCAAGTTAAACTAGTCTTTAATTACACGCGCTTCAAATAAAGTATTATACAGACCAATTATTTAAGGCACACGTATCTCAGAAGGCTTTAGAAAGAAAACTTGGAACTACTGAGTGCCGTTTTATATGAAAAACTATGAACTTATACTCAGTTTTTCGATCTATAATTTCAAGCTTTCCAGTGAGTGGTTGAATTTGGCGGATATTATACCGAAATAGTAACTATCGGGGTAATGATGCCACTCACCTGCCAATAAATATTTGACATAATTTGATCAAAATACATTCTGAAAATAGAAATGCTTGTAGCACAACGCTCGGAATGTTTACGAGGCAACTATAATTCCTTGCGAATCTGTAGTGGGAGATTAAAATCCGTCAAAATCGATCTTAACACTGCAGAAAGAGGTCCTGGTGCGGATTCTCTACAATCAGAAAGAAGATAATTAAGACGCAATTGATAAATGTTCGTGCTGAGTTTCGTATAAAGCAAGCGTATCTAGACACAATGCTCGGTAAATTTGACTTGGGCGCCCGATCTGTAAATTGATTATATCCTCCACACAATAGCCTCCACTATCATTTTTATTCGGGAGGAATATCGGATCCTTTGTAACCCGTATACAGTGGTAAATTCGACGCAGGTCCAGATTTTGCAATTCGATGTCCATAAATAACCTGCTTGATCAAATTATGACAGTGTTTAGGATTTCATCTTTGACTTGCATTCGCACTTTCTCTTTTGACAATATCCTCACGGAAACTTAGTTATATTGTGTTGCCACTCGGGAGAAAGCCCCGGATCCGACTTTCGAGAAAGAAACTTAAATTGAATACGAAGTCGTGGCGGTCTCGGCGTTATGCAATAAAACAAAAAGGATCGGATGGGATGTGCTAAAATGACTTAAATTTCTCAGCGGGATACTGTAACTTACATTTTTGTTCAATAATGAAGTTCTCCCCATACAGAACTCTGTTTTCTCGCTTGTATATCCGTCGACACGCGCCATTTGCAAAACGATTACTCAAGTGGCCGATTTCATCCACTACATACGTGTAGACTTTTTATTAGCCACCAAGTTATACGCTATTAAGCTTCTAATTACGACTAATTTAACAACTCGCCTTTAGCTGCACTCGAGATTAGACGACAGCGTTTAATCTGCTTAATCATTCCCCGCGAGGCTCACACACGTCGCACCGACGTTAAAAAACAAACACAAACAAACGCGGAAATAACGTTCAAGTTCAATTAGTACTTAGTTCGAATCAAAACATTTTTCTACAAGTATTAACACAACGTTAATTACACATCAAACACAAGATACTGTTTTTCTCGTGTAAAGTAATTGTGTAAAACGTCTCATGAAGCAGAAAATTCAAACATTTAAAAATACACATATGGTTTAAATAAGATTTTAGCCCATCACAAGACTTAAACACTTTAATGTAAGTTTGACGTTGTGTGTGCACTTCGCTTTTAATTGAAAAGACTCATTAACTATTAACAGTGGTGGTTGAGCTTATTTTGTTGTTATAATTACTCCAAACTTTAATAAACACACTATTGAGAACTAAAACCATATTACACGTCTACGTGTTAAAAGCTTATGTATTTTAAACAGGTGGTCGTATTATCGTTACATATGGAACTGGAGAACTTCATATTCGATCAGCAAGGGCAGAAGATGGCCTTGCGAGATATTCCTGTTTGACACTACATATTCTGACGCAAGAACGGAAAAGAAGTGCACCCGCCATTTTAACGGTTACAGGTAATACGTTTGTATAAATTTGTGTTCTCGCTGTCTGATTCCATTTACACATTTTTTGAGACGAGGGTTTTCTTTATTATTTCTGACGTTTTTCCGTTATTATTTTCCATAACGTATCAACTACTCGTTCCTTGTCCGGTTACAATAAAACTGTTGGAACTGATTGGTTGCGGTTTTGCTAATTAAAATGTTTGTTTCGTTGCGCATGCATCCATTGCGCATGACGTCACACCTAAATTGTAACTACTACCCGTCGAAATTTTTGTTTAAATTGTGTGTTTGGTTTTCAGAACCCACTAGAAGTATGTCTCCCCGACTAGCCCCAACCGTCCAGACCGTAGTTTCAGCAGATCGTGAGACCGACGTTCATTTAACATGTTCAGCGCAGGGAAATCCACCGCCAACATTCAAGTAAGATTCTCGTGTAAACATTCTATTAAGCCCCTAAATCAATTTCATTATGGATGTGTTGTTAAGTAAACGCGTATAGGATTCATCTCGTAGGTATTCAATTACTAGGGGTTTAGTAAGTGTGCGAACTGTATTAATGGTGTGAGTTTCGCATTAATGTCAATATCGCGTCAAAATATGTCATAAATCCTTTCCTTTAGTTGGTTCCGGGAAATCGAAGGCCATCTACAACCCGTACATTCATCACCCCGTTTCGAACCCTCCCAAGACATCCTCCACATTCGCCGGCTGAAACCCGAGGATGCTGGCAGGTGGACGTGCAAAGTCTCTAATAATTTTGGAGAACAAAGATTAGATATTCATCTTACCGTCACGGCTCATTTAAGCGTACATGTGCTTCCGCAGCTACAGGTATTTCGTGCAATTTCGTTAATGTTTGACGTAAGGGTAACGTAATTCTTAGGTAATAAACTCGGGGGAAAGTGCAATTTTCAATTGCTCGGTTTCCGGATCTCCGGTGGGACCCATCCACTGGCTTAAAAATGGAGAACCGCTTCTTACTGATGGAACTAGAAAAATTAAGCTATTAAGTCCGCTGGTTTTAGCGGTGTACGACGTAACGAGACATGACAGAGGGATGTATCAATGTGTTGTCAAGAATGATCGAGAGAGTTCGCAAGGCAGCGCTGAACTTCGACTAGGAGGTAGACTACATCATAAATAATGCACATTATAACTTTAAAACACTTTGTCTATTGACCAGCTGACAAATGAGCCCCATGTGCGCGTCTTACTCAAAATTGTTTCCACAACAACTAATTTCTAACTTGTAAACCAATTTTACTTCACGGAACTAATTTCCTACCATGTGGACGGACAAAGATGCTCCGTTTACGCAAAAATCAACCGCTTACGCGACATACTACATACGCGTAAGACGCGTACGTGACTCTTTGACTTTTCTTATTGCCAAAGAATCTGGAAAAAGGATATGCTCAGTTTCGAACTTCCGGGACAATATTAGAGTTGAAATTTTACATTTGGCCAAAGTCGCTTGGAACCCTTGAACGGTAAATTCTCTATTAACGACGGTTTAGTGTCAAAACACAAAATTATACGACTGTTTCAAGAGAACAGTGGTAAACAACACTCCGACACTGTGTGTCCTTTTAGGGTTTACGGAAAAAGCCCCTAAATCTTACGTCGGTAAGATAATATTAAAAAGGAAACTTTTACAAACGTAACTCTCCACAAACCTTTTACGGTTTTGTACGTATTAACATCGACGATAAGGTGTGACGACGGAATGTGGCCACCAAAACGCGTAAACCAGAAATAGAGGGTCTTTTGCGTCCCCACTAAATTAAACTTGACAGGATTATTTTAGGAAAGATTTAGTTGTTTAAGAGAGCTTTTTTCCGCCACATCTTCATCAACACCATTTTGCTGTAACGTCATAATCTCCAAGCCATCGATTCGCGTAACGTTTTGGTTTTCATCTCAGAACCCTTCCAGAGATATTTATGGATTCGGCTTCAGTTTTCAATTTCCGGCCTTTCAATCCCTTTGTTACTCTGATTATGATGCAAACATAAAAACGAAATAATTTTCGCTCCTTTGTTCCCAGACATAAAGGACATGTTTTAGGTTTCAGTCACATATCCCTGTTAAAATTGAAATAGATAAGTGGAGAAAATTACAGCCGAACATTTATTATTTTTGTGTTTCGTGAAGATTGATTGTTGCCTTCACACATGTATTTGCAAGAAATTACGGCGTTGCTGGCTGTCTACTATCCGTTTAAAAGGTCGGCAGCGCAAATTGATGATCGTCTGCTAGCTTTCTCTTCTTATTGATGCACCGGGCCGCGATGACGGAGTAGTTTCACCCAGTTTCCCGAACTATTCATGAATTAGTATTGAAAAAACAAAAAGTATTCTAAAATCACATTTATAGCGTAATTTTGAACATAAAAATCGTATAATGGTAGAGGGTGGGAATCCTACCTGCTGCGCCAAATTTTGTATTTAAACGATAAATTTTCATAAAAGCCGGCACAAGCTAATAGTAGACGTTGTAGAAGTTTTTCGAATGATTCTCGTAGTTAAAAGTGGTGTTTCTTTTACACCTCCATTAAAGAGTCAATGTAGCTGAACGCTTTATAATGCAATATAAAGATCAAAAGCACCATGTCGTAAAATATTAAATTAAGAGCACACCTGCAAATCTGCTTGCCACGCTTTCAAGATAAATTATTTTCCAATAATTCAACAATTAATTTTCTTTTATTATTTATATCACGACGATAGATTATCACAAGATAATTATCCCATAAAACAGTACATCACAGAAACGTCGAACGTCGTGTATGGTAATGTATTCGGTCCATTGAGCAATTTGCCAGCCCACTTGCTGGTATAACATCCCCCACAACCTGAACGCTTTGACCAACTTTAATTCGAAATGTTCGGCTTATTTAACAATTTGCTTTTTAGGCGCAAGCCAAACGGCAGCCGTGTTCTAATAGCTTCCGTAATTATCGATAAAAAAATCGCACTAAATGTTATACCGCGTTTAATTACACATCTTCGCATTTTGTGCTTCCCCGCTTCCCCTGGTACACAGAACGTCACTTTTATTACAATTTTTCTCAATTTTAAATTTCACCGGCGTTGTGGAAACTCTACATTCGACACTTCGCAAAGGTGCGAAATAATAAAGAACTTCATCATAACTTCGCTTTAAGTAACACAGTTAAGCGAGGTGAAGTTATTTTAATGAGGTGATTTATCATTTTTTACTTTAATATAGTCTGTACAATGACGAAAAAATTTTGTAGTTTCACTCCCCCGTACACTGCCTTTACTCAAGTATGAAATTATTTTATGAGAAAAAGGAGGAAGTATGTTTTTAAATGATATATTGTTGACGGAAGTTAAAACTCATTTCCGGTCGGTTTTTCACAAACTGAAACGCGTCTGGCGGCCGAAGTCGCCGAGGCAGCGGAAGTACTCGAAAGGTTACGCTATATTAATAACAATTACCGCCACGTACACAGGATGGCTCACCTAAATTTTCACAGGCGAAATGATAAAAATGATAGACGTACATGCGGACCCATAGAAAGATCGAGATAGCCGAAGCGGGGCTCATTTGGACGCTCCTATTTTCGTCCATTTATAACAACAAGTCAACATAAATAAGCTGTTCAGACTGGTAGTGGTCCCTCAAAATTGATCCCTAACCTAACGCAACAAAGTTTGACGTGTCTCGTCCCCGTTAGATTTTTAACTTCAATCAGACTCTATCACACTCTAAGACGAAAACTGTTTTTAGATACAGTGCCCGAATTGCAGTACACCTTTATCGAGCAAGCTATGAGACCAGGCCCACAAGTATCCCTTCGTTGTTCCGCCACCGGGTCTCCACCACCCCAATTTCGTTGGTTCCTGGACGGGGAAACCCTGTCTGATATAACTTCAGGCCATCGGTAATTTTTTCAAATTTGTTATTTTTAGTAACACTCCCGGCTGTGTTTGATCCCGGGGATTTTGATATGAACTGGCGCTCAAAGCGTGATGTGCAGTCACAAATTCTTGTTCGCAATAATTCTGTCGACCTTCGGGGACGTTTTCTTCTAGGACTTATAAATTTTTCCGCAGATACACGATCAGTCAGTACGTTGATCAAAACGGCGATGTGATTAGCCACCTAAACATCTCAAATGCCCGAGTAGAAGATGGCGGTCTTTACAGCTGCCGAGCGTTAAATTCGCTAGGATCAACAGAGCACTCAGCCCGGCTCAATATATACGGTATGTTTTATTCATCGCTGTAGAAGACTAGCATTTAATACATTTAGCGTAGGTCCTCCATTCATACGATCTATTGGTCCCGTAAAAGCAGTGGCTGGAGCGGATATAACTTTGCACTGTCCATATTCGGGCTATCCAATTGGATCTGTCCGCTGGGAGCGGCACGGACAAGAATTACCGCTTGATCTGCGGCATCGTCTCGGAGAAGGAGGATCTCTTACGATATCCCGGCTAGATCCTTCAGCAGATTCCGGATTCTACGCTTGCTTTGTGACCAGTCGGGACGGTGAAGTCGCGAGGAGGGAAATTCAGCTTATAGTAAACAGTCCCCCGATTCTGGAGCCGTTCCGGTTTCCCGCTAGCCTACAAGAAGGTGGCCGGGCACAGGTCACTTGCTCCGTCACTTCCGGGGACATGCCTATACACTTCGCTTGGTACAAAGACGGGGAACACATATCGGCGGCCCTTCAGGTAAACCCGCACCGTGTTAGATCAAGTGTTCACAGAGAATACACGCAGGTGGAAGAACGCGCTGCCGAGTTCTACAGCATCCTCATATTCAAAGAAGTGTCCTCGCGACATAGCGGAGCGTACACTTGTGTAGCAAGTAACGCTGCAGCTAGAGCCAATTATACCGCACAGCTGATGGTTAAAGGTAAAAAATTATTTCGCGACACGAGTTGATACATATAAATAACCGGCTTCGCCGGTAACCATTAATAACAGTTTGAGAGCGTCTTTTCGCAGGATACCGTCCTGATAAATATGCTCTTAGAAGCTCTAAATTCACTGCCTATTGACTCTTCTATTTTCATTTCAATAGTTACTCCCCAGTGGGTCACCGAGCCACAAGACGTATCAGTTCTTCTCGGAAATCCAGTCCTTGTAGGATGCTCCGCAAAGGGGTTCCCTGAACCTCAAATAACATGGCTCAAAGGTCAAGGTAATTACAGTCGACACTAAGCTTTTTATTAAAAGACGGAAAATCGATGACATGAGACTTCCATCAGACCTGGTCTCATCTCATCGAATTCTCGAGCGCAATCAGCACATTAACACTTTTCTGACCTGATCAGGAAAAACATCGACGGATTATCAACCTCTTCTAAACATACATAGTAGAGCAATGCTACTCGCAAACGGGTCTATGTGGATCGAAACTGCTAGTCCTCAAGACGAAGGGTATTATTTATGTAGAGCCAACAACGGGATAGGATTAGGACTTACGAAGATCATTTACATAGGAGTTAACGGTAAAGTACCCATTTTTCCCTTACTAATTGCCTGGTTACTGCATTTCGATTAGAACTTTGTGTATAAGTTGCCGGGGGAATAGATCTGGGGTTATTTTGATGTCGCCAATTTGCAGAGCCAGCAAGATTTGACCTTCCATCTAAAAATGTGTCGGTGAAGCGAGGTAACCCAGCGAACTTGCTTTGTCATGTTTATGGTGACATTCCTATAGAAGTGATGTGGACTCTAAACGGAAATCGCTTAGACACGAACAATTACAGGTAATAAAAAAACTTTTCCTGAAAAAACTGTCAATATCAAATTCCTTGCTGACGTTGCGTAATAAAATTTATAAGCTCTGGCTGACGCATCCTAAATATCTAAACGTTCACTAGCAGGAACGCAATCGGTATTTCTCGAACACGATACTGTTGCTTAAATATATCGACACTAACATTTGAGGCAGTTTTAATTAAAAATCCACTTACACAATTACAAGTGGGGATAATTTTATTCGTAAATTTGTATGATTAAAGGAAGCCGGGTTTAATCTCCGCCTTGTTAATGTTCAGGTTATCGATTTTTCGTGAAAAACTATCCCTTGTTTCTGGATAACCCTTCACGGGAAAATTCGAGTCAAACATGATTTTTTTACGTGGAGCAGAGTTCATTCCTTTCGAAAATATACAAAACTCTATAAGCGGTTTAAGTGGAAGTCCGGTGATGCAACGCGGTCATATAACATCTGATTAAATAGAGAGTGTAGGTGTCTCTGTTGCTCTCGTTAAACTTAATAATTAAAATTTAATTTTGTTCTTGTCGTCAGATATTTGCTGCAAGCAGCAAGTTTGTTAACTCTTGGAAAATCGTAGGTTGCAGCGGTGACCTTGTATTTTGTGTTAATCCCTCGCAAATTTTCAGTAGGATTACGATCCGGGCTACAAGTGGTCAGACGAACTTTAGATACTAGTATTATAATGTATTTGTTATAATCCGCTGCGCTGTGTTAATCCTATTTCCTGTGCGTTCTTGGAAAAACTGAACATTTAGCGCAGGCTGTTCATGCGAATTTCACGTGATCCCGCGACTTTCGTAAAATGTGATTTTTTTTCTTTTTCTTTACGAAACGAATGAACTATTGGTAAAAGTTGTCATTTGATGCATGTTTGAGTGTCGTTCTCATTTGCGCAAATGAGTCATGCAGCAGTAGAGACAAACATAGTTCAGGAATAATTAAATAAGTTGTAGGCACTTCAAAAGATTCGTCGCAGCGGTAGACGCGAAACTTCCGAAACTATTTTATGTTGTATTTATTTTGTAAAAGGTTGTGTCCGTGAATAGAGTAGCTATTACCATACAATTACAAGAGTGAATTTAAATTGGAGTAGACATGAAACCCTAAACTTCACTTTAAGTGGATTTTTAACAAGTTCTTAACCGCCGGCATAAATTTGTTACGACCAAACATTTATAACCTAATAATGTTTTTCATAAAAGCTATAACGGAAAAAGTCTTATAGAAACAATTTTTTACATAGGCACACGATCCGTGTCTAATAATTGATGATGTTTGTGCGAGCTTAGAAGAAATTTCCAATGTAACGTTTTTTGTTCGAGAACCTTGAGAGAATTCTTGAGTTCATTTACTTTTCTCAAATAACCGACATTCCGTAGTTGTAATTGGAGGGCGAAATATAATCCTTTTAAACGATCGGTGACTTTTCACCTGCATGGGATTTTCTTCTATCCTCTAAAAGAAACGGCGGCGGTTACGATGTTCGTGCTTTCGTTGCTTTGGAAAGTGCAATGTAAGTTCCAATTTTCTCGGGTTAATAGATATACAGTGAGCAGTACTAATACGGAAAATGGGGTGAAATCGCAAGTCACTATAGGACGAACAGATAGAGAAGATTCAGGAGTTTATAAATGCGTGGCTGAAAACACCTTCGGTCGTAGCGAGCACATCATTAATCTTGCCGTTCAGGAGAGACCAGATCCTCCCAGCATGTTAGAAGTAATAGAAGTAGCCAGCCGTTCGGTGCGCTTATCTTGGAGGCGGCCTTTCGACGGCAACAGCCCGGTCATCGGTTACTTGGTCCAGTATCAAATCCTCGGACCCAACCAAGACTGGGAGCAACCGACAGCTCTAAATTTAACACTCCCGGCCAACTCCCTACCAGAGTAATACAGCTCCTGTAAAAAACTCGTCGTGTTTTAATTTATTGCTTGCAGTTCCGATGTTAACCCGCAAGAAACCGCCGTGATAGGTGGGCTCCTTCCTGCCAGGGTGTACACAATGCGCTTGCTTGCAGTAAACAGCATAGATCAAAGCGCATTCACAGAGGCTGTTATTGTGAAAACGCAAGAAGAGGAACCGGCCGACGCGCCGAAAGACGTCCGCGTTGACTCCGTGGGGCCCGGGGAGCTCTTCCTTACGTGGTCCGTTCCGGCCAGAGAGAGCTGGAATGGCGAGCTATTAGGGTACATTGTGTCTTGGAACGAGCACGGGGGTCTTCCGAACCAAACGAAAAGCTTAACGGTTAAAGGCTGGGCGACTACGAAGTTGCAATTAACAGGATTGAGAAAGTTTACTCGTTACGACATTAATGTCCGCGCCTTCAACAGTATCTCAACCGGGCCCGCCTCCCCCACGGTTATTGGGACCACTAAAGAAGGGGTACCGGAAGCGCCACCTCAAGACATCTCCTGCACGCAGATAACCTCACAGAGCATGAAGATCTCGTGGAGCGCCCCTCCGCAAATCCTCCACGGGGGCCTCATCCAAGGGTATAAAGTTTATTACAGGCCGCTTCCGAACGAAAATGGTAAAACAGTTTATTGTTAGTCAATAAAAAAAATATCATCGGTTTTCCCATTTATTGCAGTTGACATCCCGACCACGGGAGAAGTTAAAAGGACCTCGAGCAGCGAGACGTATTTACATACCCTCTTCAAATACACCAACTATTCGATTAAGGTTTTGGCGTACACCGGAGCCGGGGACGGCATGATGAGCGCTCCTTTATACTGCGTCACAGAAGAAGATCGTAAGTGCACACTTATTCTCTGATCCCTTCTTTTCTAAAATTTTCGATTTAGTTTTACGACATAGCCGCGGCCGTAAACACTATTACGCTTCGAAAAATAGAATTAAAAAAATAGATGGCGCCACGAATCAGTGAACACTTCACCGCGGGAGGTTTTCCAAAAACCGAATAACACTTCGCTGACCGAGACGAGTTAATCTCTTGAAAACTTTCAGATCGTAATTATTATAGTTTGTTAAACTCATGCTGGCATCTGGCGGGAAGTAGATTAACTGGAAAGCGTGACACACCATGAATCGCAGAAATCAATAGTAATACCATCTAATACGTGACGAAATTTCAGACAATCTCACAGAGAAAGGCGCTAGCGCTGGCTTTTTATTGGACAAAAGCGGGGAGACAAAAAATAGACACTGAGACACATAATCAATCTTTTTATTAAGGGCAAATGGCGCGAAAATAGACATTCTCATGCCACAATGGCGCATGTGAGCGAGTTGTACGCAGAAAACAGTAAAAAGAGTAATTTTCCTTTTTACGATCCAAAAAACATCCTTTAATAATCATGATAACAATAACAACCGTACTACTGCAAACATTATTAATATTATTATTATTATTTCATAAGTTTCGTTTCGACTGTATTTATTAAGTTACAAAGGTTTACATAAAAATGAAATTCATCCAAGGTTTTCAGGTGATTGATATTCCGTCTGATGATAATGTCCTGCTAAATGTGAACAGAAAAAGCCACACCTAAATGACCGTCGGTTCATACAATGGCATTAAAAAGAACTCCTAATTGCTACTTCTAGCATATAATAAATTTTTCCACTCTGCGTACAATTCCGCATACGGATTAAAATTGTGTAGACGCTGTTATTTTTAGTTTGAAGCGAAATTGTCTTGATTTTAAAGCAAACGCGGTTGTTTTTAGCACAAAGAGAACAAACGCATGTAGTGAAAATGAAAATAAGAACCTTTTTTAGGTTCAGCACAAAGCGTTAGTCGAATTTTAATGCCTCAGTCTATCTTAAAAATAAACGGCTGCGGAGTTTTAGGTGCGACGTCCTGTTCTCTAAACATGTAGCAGTATATTGCAGGGTTCCGATTGGTGCATGCGAATGGTTTTCCAGAAGTGTGTGTAGAATACATTCAGAGATTATAGCGTTGTAAGGGCACTTTTTACGATCGTCCGGTTTGGGGTGTATCTTTGGGCGAAAATGAAATTTCATAATTAATACAGCTTTCATTACTTACGCACGTGTAATCTCATTTGACGGCATTGCATATTAATCCTTATATTTTGCTATGCGAACTCACTCTGATGTGACAATTTTGAATTAAAACAAGTTTATCCAAGTTGGTATGCAAATCTGTGCAGGTTTCACGGTCTGATGTAGTTTCCAAATTTGATTCTCGACAACTACGCTGCGTTTCCCGAGGCGGAGTCGGAGGAATTAAATTTTGCATTTTGTTGCAAAACGGTTGTTCAAATAGCTCGCAAAAATAACACGGAAGCTATTATCAAATTTGACTTGTAATGGAAACGGTGTGATCGATAACGTTGTTAAAGAGCAGAAAGAAGTTCCGTAAAGTTTCAAGGAAACGTTGTTTTAATTACTTCGCACTGTAATACATCTAGCTAACGGGCGACACATAAATCAATAAAAATATTGTCACAGACTGAAAGCGACCAAATTTCACGAAACACACTAGCGGCTTGACGGAAATGACACAAAAACTGATACGGTTTTAAATATATCTGAAAAGTAAATGCACAGGTTACTACAATTTCCGATGTAGAGTTAAAAGGATTGTGACGTAAGAACTAATATGCAGGCTTTGCTCAGATCGAGATTTCTGATGACAAGATAACATTACAATTTTGCGCGTTACCTACTTTTAAATAAAAGCTGATTTCTTAATGTTGTACATGATGCAAATGAGTGTCTTATAAACAACGTATGTCCAAATAAGATTAGTCTAATTATGCCATCGCATTAAGTACGTAACTAGCGAATATAATAACATTAATAATAACTTTAACCCCACCTTTGATACAAACTCCCCCTACTTTGAACTAAAATTGACATAGAACGGGATTAACCCAACTAAATTTCGTTCCACGAACGTCACCGTATTTAGTTGTTAGTTCACGCAACCACGGATTCAAACTCCGCCTCTCGCTCCGCCGCTAATGCAAGCTCCGCCCACTTGAAGTGCGCTTCCCTTTTAGCTCCTGTTGTTATCCCCCAAAATCAATTTAACGGCTGCACTAAGTTTCGCAACGCAACCACGTTATCAAAAAGACAACCACGAAAACGGGTAACAGCAACTCAATAAATTCGACAAGGTCCAATAAACAGATAAAAGAAAAAAATCCAAATCGGTGCCAAGCGAGCGAGAATAGCCAAATCTGTGTCATTGACACTTGTTTTTTGAGCTGCGCGTAACATGTTAACGTTCACATTCTCCCGAACAATATGTATATCTAAGGCTGCGCCTACACCGCACTAAAATCGCGACGTTTAGGGTCAGCGGATACGAGAGCCGGTGGAATTTAATCAAGATAATTTCCATGATTTATTATTCATTGAAAAAGCCATAAAGAAATTTTCCGCCGATTAGATGCATCTGCAGAATAATGAATCAGTCAGATGAAGTTTGAATTACGATCCAATCGCAAACGTGCTCGTGTGTGAATGGCATTATTTGATAGACGCTACATAAATTAGCCGAATGTTTTTCGTCTTGTTTACCTCTCAGGGTTTTCCATTAATAAATCTTTACCTGTCGTGCGGTTGAGATTCACCCCTTGTCCTTCATCCCTTTTATTTACGCAACGGCGCGCGAACAATAACAGAAATGGACTGGCAATGTGTAGCTTTTAGCTGTTTGAAAAGAGATAGTTACTTTACGGCCGGCAGGGCCGGACTACACGCTGAAACCTATGGGACGAACCGCACTAAAACAATGTAAACATAAACCAGATAAAACCAAAGCAAAAAATAAAAAGCATTAATGCGTTATATGTTTACGCGCGCAGCGAGCTACTAAGCTTGCAATGCGTGGCTATGTGGCTAAACACCCAATGTTAATTGACCACAATAATAAACTTTTCTTCATGAGTATGTTACAGCATGCACGACGACAGCGTACATGTAGTTTTGGGGCTAATATAATTCTGCAGCTTGAGTTAGACCCAGTAATGAGTTTCTTAGTCCCGGTCCGGCCCTGGCGGCGGTTTAAAGGGAACGTTCGCAATGTATTATGCATGTGTACGTATCGAAATGAACCACGAATCGAAACAGTATTGATTTAGATTGTTATTATTTTGCATATTTGGTTGTCCTACATACACGCAGACACTAACCACACGATTTCTTATAATGCAAGAATTATCAGAACAAAACCTGCTGACATTTTTATTACGGGTTTGCGTTAAGTAACGAACGCGAACGAAAGTAAGCGTGTTCTAGTTTTGAACATTACGTGAACTTGATATGAATTAGTAAAATTTCATTTAAGTACGCCTAGTTCACAGTACTTTTGTTTTCCGTAATGAGAACAACCTCGATGCTAGATTCACACTGAACGTCTTTTCTTTTCACTATCGCGACGTAACGTTATTGAAGGTTGTTAATGGTGAGGAGGATTGATGTCTTCTCATCCATGACCCTGCACAAGGGATTCGTTTCAACCGCTTTGTGGAAAACTTCCGAAAATTACGTTTTCCACTTTGGCGCAGTCACTGCATCGAGATCATATTATCATTTTAAATTAATTATGGATAGTGAGGTTAGTCGCTGCGAAATTAATTATTATTCACTGCAGGACCAGTTGCTTGATAATGAAAGGAAATCCACTCCTTCTAATTAAGTCGTAATAGATTTGTATAAATTTAATTAATTTTTATAATTATGAATCTTGTCTGCGGTTAAAAAGCGACGCTAATATATAATCGATTAGAGCTTCCCACCTTTCCAGTTTTCTTTACCTTGTAATATTTTTTTTATTCTTCTTCTCTTCGCTAAGTCTGCTAAATCTTTCTTTAATTTCCTAAATCTTTCATAACAACCGTTCGAATTTCACCTTGTTTACTTATCTTATATAAAGGGTGCCACAATACCGTGCCACTCGACCTTAATTTCAAACAATAAAATCAAAGTTTTGATTTTTAAATCTCCCGCCATGATCTCGTCTGAAGCTACTTGATCAGGAAACAAAAAAATCGGAAGTTGTTATTTAAAATGTTTAAATAATTAAGTAACAAAAGTTTCTCTACAAAGAAAAAAGTTCGTTGCAGCGTGTTATCGCCGTATATGTCGATAATCGTGGGTTATTCTACGGTTTTTTGTCTTTGCTTTCTTTTCGTGATTTTTACTTTTTATTCGTAAGGTTATACGAACCCGTAGCGAATGAAAAAAGGAAAATTTGATTAGTAACGTACTTTCTAGAAATGTATGGAAATTTTCAAGGTCAATCAAGTTGTACAACTACACTCGTGACCTCTAATATTAACCGTTTTCTCAAGCCAGCAGTTCACTTTTCATTCGAACTCATTAATAATGTCATTTAAACCACAGTCGCGTCTTCAATCATTTCACAATTCTTAAATTAACGAATTAAGTAAACAAGAATTTCTTAATATGGGCCATTAATATCGCAATTTGATGAAATTAGGCATATTTTCCAATAACACAGATTTGAGAAGAATAATAATCGAGAAAAACATATACAGAAATAACATTGTAAAACGGTGAAACCTCAATTGTTTAGGACCAATTTCAAATAAAAAAATTGTCGCTGGTTTTGAAGTTCTTTAGCGAGCGAAGCGAGCTATATTGATATAGAATAGAAACCCGCGTTATTGGATTTGTCTAAATCGTCTATTTTGGGGACGATTTTGCTGCTCAGCATCTGGATTTACTGCGTTCTTGTTCCATTAATCTGGCAATCTTTTTGTTGGGTCTAGCATTTGTCAACAATCCATGTGATATCCCGTGCGTTAATCACAAACTTGCAAAATATCACTTTGTCAGTTTATCTGTGTACGCCAATGTCCCCGGTGTAATGAAATCCGTTGCAGTTCCAGGTCCACCGTCGGACATAAAAGCTGCAGCTTTGACAAGCGAATCAATTCTTGTCTCCTGGTTACCACCTAGCAAACCGAACGGTCGCATAAGTCATTACACAGTTTATGGGCGTGAAGCTGGACGCGTGGGAAAACACACAAGTTACAATGTCCGAGTGGAAGACCTGGTCCATTTGCACGGGTTGATGTACGAAGTGCGAAATTTAGTGGAACATCAACTTTACGAATTTTGGGTATCTGCAACGACGAGTATCGGCGAGGGCGAGCCGACAGCCATCGTAGCGCAGGCGACTAATTCGAGGGCCCCGTCGAGGATAGCCTCGTTCAGTCAATTAATTAGAAAACCTGTCAAATCTAAAATTCTGTTGCCTTGTTTGGCCGTAGGCAATCCGACGCCCAGGACGAGATGGATCCATCGGGATAGGCCCATTACGTTCAGTTCGTTCTACGAAATCACGGCGGATGGACACTTGAATATTCACAGTAAGTTTATAGGTCTTGGCTGGTATAAATTTTTCTTCGTATGGCAATGGGGCGACATAAAAACGGAAAGTTATTTTATTTGCGATGGTTGGGTTTACGATGGTGGTATCTCAGATGCACTCTAACGACGCTTGGCGCTGAAAAAACCGGAAATCCAATTAACACGGAAAAGTCGGTTAATTATTTTGATTTGCCCTCTTCAGACGACGTAATTACGGACAAAATTTGGACCACTTTTGCTAACGCGGTAATGAAGCCTATTAGCAGGCTGCTCTAGCAAAATTTTCAATAATGAACGCAACATTCAAAACTGCTGCGTAACTGACACTATTAAACTTAATGGACGTATTTAAGATTAATCCAATTGGTGTATACATGTTACTATATATGCTTTTCATATTTTCAAAATTACCTCCCTAAAGAAACTGAGATACTTCTCATAATTTCATCGAAATTACCAGTCTTTAAAATTATGTCACGTATAAACTTGGCATAAAACCGTGAGTCCAAAAGAAGAAGAACTCTTAATCAGTTAATTAAGAGTAATTTGCATTGGTTTTGTCGCCTCCGGTGAACCTTAACGCTTTGCGCCTAGAATTTTCGTTCCAGGACAACAATTCTACTAGTAGTAGTTTTGCTTACTCAAATCAGAGCAGCAACAACCAGCTTGGGAAGGTTGAATGATTTATAAAACATCAAGTTGAGGTTTATACCTTATTTTCTTCATTCATCCTACGTCGTCGGACCACCCTTTGGTAGTCTTATTTATGAACGATGAAAGATTCGGGTTTGCGGGTCATTTTTTTTCTCAAGTACGGTCTTCGTCATTTCCCTAACTATGTTCCAAGTTTACGTTCCTCACAATTTCTTTCCTATGGCTTCTTCCATGTTCGTCCTATGTCGAGACAAAAGTTACACAATCGTCTTAGTATACCTTTTTGATTCTACTGAGGTAGGTATTTTAATTTTCCGGTCAAATTAAGCATTGTTCCCATTGTTTCTATCTTTGGAAGACTATTTCCCTTCTGACTGCCTCTTGTTCTTTAAATAATCTTGGAAGCTAGGAAACTTTTTCTCGTGCAATACCGTCCCAAATATGTTTCTCAAGTACTAATCGCTACTCTCGGTGACGTCCGGGAAAATGCAGGTCATGTCCGGTCAGGTCAGGTCAAGTTAGATCAAGTTCGGTCAGAGGAATACTATCGAACCTGATCTTACTTGATCCAAGCTGAGCTGATCTGATCTGGCATGATCTGACGATCAAACTAAAACCTACCACGCGGTACTGCTAAGGATCGTGGTTGAGGTTAAGTCGGACAATTTCCGCTGTGTTGAAAGCAACCTATCAAACTTTTCAGTCTTCGAACGCTTCATCGAAACGTGGTGACCAAAAAAATGTAGTACCAAAAAACCATGTAATGGCAACCACAACGACGTGTTTCGAAATTAAATGGGTATGATTTCTATGTCATTAATTTGATTGACTTTCGTTGCATCAAAGTACAGGAGATAATTGATAATTGATAGTCATGAAATACGTAATCCTATATTATAGCTTTCAGAAATTAAAACATTAAACCAATTTTATTATATAATGTAATTCATCAATAAAAACGATGATTTAAATTACTGTTTTAATTTAGAACTCATTAAACTTTCAAATGTAGTTGAAAATTTATTACTGAGTTGTGATACGTTCCGGCAGAGTGGTAATTCAGAATGTATTAAAAAGTTCACACAATCATATGGGATATAAAATTTGTACTTTAATATTCGCTGAAAACTACTGGATTTCGTCGTCTTCTTCGTCCGTTTTTGACATTCTTCATTTCAACTTCCTGTATTTCGTTTCCGCAATCGTCGAACCCTGTTGGCCTTTACTCAAACTGTCCCAAACATAGCACGTGTGTGCAACTTAGTCTTCTACCGCTCACGTATACCGCATCACCTTGAAACTGGAGAGACCCAACTTTGTTTTCTAGATTGCACAAAAAGTTGTTCACAGATCTAACATTCATCAGTTTATTTTTTCGCTCGTATGATTTTTGTAACCCGAAACCCGATCTGAAGGCCCGTGTGCATCTAACAAATGACTCTTTTATAAAACTGACGTTCATTAATAACAGCAGCTATCCACGATAAACCAATGTCAAAATGTTGTCGCTTTGAGGTGTTTGTTGTGAATTGTGTGTATTTTTTTTTCTGGGTTACATTGAATATAACTTAATGATTTAGACAGAACATATATTCTCGGGTTCGGTTATCTTACTTGATTATTCACGCAAAGGTGCAGACCAGTCGCTTTCGGGCAATTACACCTGCTCTGCGAAGAATCTTTTCGGTGATGATAACATCACGTACACATTAATGGTGCTAATGCCTCCGAGCGCACCACCTTTAGAGGTCCAATTTAGCACCGCCAGAAGTATCCGCTTGCATTGGTCGCAACCTGAAGACGGAGGATCGATGATTCAAGGTTTGTTAATGAGAAGTCAATTAAACAAATATTTCACGGGGAATTCTAGGTTACATCTTGAATACTAAACACGAGACTGATGACTGGACAACGCTGGAACTTTCTCCAGAACAGACTGTATATACTTTAGACCACCTTCAATGCGGGTCTAGCTACCACATATATTTGCTAGCACACAATAGAGTCGGAAACGGAAGTCCAAGTCCTATTCTAACAGTCAACACCAAAGGCGGTCCACCGCTTCTGCCAAAAGACAGCGAACTCATATCAATAAACGCGACAACGTTGCAGCTGAATTTGTACAATTGGCCCGACGGCGGGTGTCCGATTTTGCAGTTTTCGATACAGTATAAGGTTTACGGGGCGAAAAAGTGGAACCTCATCTCCAGCTCGATTTTGGAAGAGAAGATCATCATTCACAATTTGTCGCCGGCGACTTGGTATCAGCTGAAGATAACTGCCGAAAACGACGCTGGAAAAATCATCGGACACTTCAATTGCGCAACGACAACCTTAGGCGGAGGTAAATAGTTTTAATCGATCGGTAATAGGAGAGGAATTGCACCTTCGAACAATAACAGTGAGCGAAAGGTAGTGTCAGCTGAAAAAGCAAAAGTTACGTGGAAATAACACCCAGGGCACTCTATTAATACTAGTTTTAACGGTAGCAGTGGTGTATTCCGGAACCGAACCTTTCACTCGGAGAAAAGTAGAGACCCTTTTCTTTCCGAGTGTCCCTTTTTTTGTGTTACCAATAAAAATATCATTGTTTGTCCAGTCATGTATTCTTCCGCGGTTTCCTTTTTAAACCGCCCGTCTGCGCCACTGCACCGCCCAGCCAATTAACATAATAGTAGCAACCATATGAGAGTTACTGTTAAGGTCATTTCCAAGCAGCGTTCGGCAAGGACGTTATTTGGAGTGACTTGGCCCAATGCAAACTACTTTGTACCCGCCCATGTTTTTTCTCTTTCTAATTGTCTATTATGTTGTTTTAACCTGCAGGTAAAATACCGATGCCGCCAAATTATTCCGAAGGAACAATACCAACCGATAAAATCGATTACACCGAAGCGTACATCCTTGCACCCACTATATGCGCTGTGGTTTTATTAATTTGCGGAAGTTTAATTTGGTTTGTATTGATCAAAATAAGGCGACAAACGGAAGAGCAAGTTCAACAGGAAGAGGTTGCGAATGACGAAAAAGCAGCCGAACGCGAGAACACAAGGAACTGTCAACAAGTATACACATCTTCACCTGTCAAATCCACGGAAAAACTGCAAGATAACGTGTCCGGTACAGGTCCGGCACGTAGGAAAAGACTCGTCTCATTATTTTCTTTGCAGGAATGTATGAAATAAGTCCGTATGCCACTTTCAGCGTGCCTGGTAACAATAGCCGCTCGGTTACCACGTCAACGCTAGACTATACCATGCAATTCAAGACTTTTGGACACATCGAAGACGAAGACCACAATGCTATCATTTACCCGAAAAATCCAAACCCGAAGCACAGCTGGCATAAGCACCGGTTCTATAGCAACGAAGGTTGGTCGACAAAAAAACATTAAAATGCAGCTCACATTGCCCGTCATCGTGGACACGAGATCAATATTATCACTAATCACTTCATTATCGTAATGAATGCGGAAATGTCGGGTCAAAATTTAGAATTTTTGATATCCCAGAGTCACTTAAGTACGCCCGGATGATGGAAGTACCTGACTGTGACTATAGGACTATCTATAATGACGCCAAATCACCACTTACGCTGCGAAACGATCAAATTTTTACCTAATTAAATTATTTAGTATTCGGTACCTGTTGAACCCAGATCAATTGATTTGTTGTTAACGATAATCTCAGGGTTTATAGGTGGGTTCAGTACGCCCTGACAAATGTCGCTCTAAATAGCAAAAACTGCCCAGACTGGCTTTTTAATACGAAGTATTTCCCAAGTTTCGCAAACAGGTGACGCAAATCCAAAACTCGAATCTTGAAGTAGTTTCCTTAAAGCGAATGCAATTTTCGAATTCTGCTAAAACCATGACAGAGCTTGCATCTGAGTCGTTGCAACGAAAAAAATAACAAAAGTGGGGTAACTCCTCTAGTTCGAAAATGTCAAGGCACTTTTCCAAATCGTAGTAACCCGATAGTTACAGCGTCAATTCTATTCTTAGTACATCTCACCAACCTTATCATCATCGTGTCATCATAAAAGCTTGTCTATCCTTAAGACAAGCGCTTATTTAATCTGACATCATCGAATTTCCAGCTGAAGCGAACACCGTCTGTCAATACCACTCTGGATCCAGTCCCCCTAATTTGATTCATCTGATGTTAACAGGCGAACCTCCGAAGTCCCGTATGCGTTCGAATCGTCCTCCCGCAAGGGGCGACTCGGAATCGGACGACACTAGTGGAAGTCCTTGCGGTGATTGTCCCAGCGGTCCAAGTTACCGCGTTCCGGTGAAGTCCTCAAGAGGTGAGCGACAAACGGCAAGATACACTGGATATGAAACCTTGCTGGTTGCAGATTTGTTTCGTCCTGATTCTAGCACAGAATCTAACGACGTTTCTCCTTTAGCTGAACGCCGACACACTCCACGACATGTAGGGGTCCAACGGCGACAGCACCGTCCTTCAAGTTCCAGCAGGTAGCCAAGGTACCTTAACCTTTCACTGCTTATGTGGCTGAGACAAACATGCTTTGTGTGTGCATAGGTGTCCGACTTAAGCCACTGTGCGTTAAGTCAGTTTGGCGGCGAAAAATACCCTTTATGCATCCATGCTTTGCGTCTCCATCGCTCCCACGAACACATTTTCTCCAGAAAATTACTCATAATAATGTGTTTCTGGTGTGGTAACGTTATTCATTAGCCGGGTTATTTACATAATCGAGCCGAAATTGTGCAAGACTGCAGTTCCTAGCGTTGAGTAGATGATTTAACGCAGAATGGCTTTCGATGGGTAACATTAGTCCTGTATTAAATTGTGTGTTTCTTTTAGTTTTGATGATTGTGTTACGGAAGATGCTTCTCCAGAGGATGTGAGATTGCAACCACCAACTGGATTTTCTGATAGTAGGGAGCTCAGTGAAGCAGAATGTGACAGAGACGTTATGCTGACCACTAAACTTTCAAATGACTTAGCGACTTTATTGGCGAGGTACGTTGGTGGAATTTTTCGGGCACGGGATTAACCTTATAGTCGTAGATACCAGGAGAGGAGGGAGCAGGAGCGAAAGGAATTTACCATTCATGTGTAACATCTTCGATTTTGAAAACTTCTAGATATTTCTTAGTTGTCTAAGGTGAAATCGATGGGAATCATTTTTGTAATTATACATGTTTATGTAAATACGAGAGTCTGAATAAAACAGTTTAAACGTGTTATTTGTTGGACTAAATAAACAATTAGAACCCATATGAACCACGACTGGTTTGGGAATAGTTTCATTGCAAACAACTTTCTTCGAGTGGGTACTTTTTTAAATTTGGCATTATTTTTTCCACTGTTTGTTTTCAAGGCTGCTGACCGTGATTAGATCCGTTTCCCGGGCTTCTCAACGGACGTTGCGATTTCTTATCTGAACATCCAGCGTTGTTTTGTACTACGAGTATCTGTTAATCCGCTGGGGTACTCAACGAGGTCATAGGTGATTGCTACAGCACGATCTTTCGAAATCCTGTATCCAGCTTATAAAGACATCAGATTATCGTCGAAGATCAACGGGGTACTACCTTTTCAAGATTATTTATTTCTGAATGAGTATCAAACCGATCTGGCATTGGCTAATTACTCCAAGTCCGGCGGACTTTACAACTAACGAGCAGTACCGGCGTGGTACTACTATCAAAGTGATGCAACTCCGATCAGATAATTTGTTAAAATCGTAGTTCGAGTGATGTGTGGATTAGCCGTCACTGAATCTATTATAAACACACATATGAATGAAACTTTCTCTTGAATTTTTATAACATAATGCTTGTTCATTGATGCACCAGAAACAACAACAAAGCGAACTCGTAGTGATATTACTATTACATGTTTTATTCAGTAGTTTTCAAGAAATCTCAATCTTTGCTACCAAGTAGACAAGAATTTCTACACTCCGAAATAAGAGAATTGTGGTTTTCCCAATTTTACCTAACCACTGGAAGTCTTCCAAGTTACTCATATTAAGGAACTAATACATCCGTGATTTCACGCACCTTTTATAAATAGTATTGGCGTAACCAGTGGAAGTCTTCCACGCTACTCATTATTAAAAAGTGTGTTAAAAAATATTTCGTTGCCTATAGTAACACACAATGGGTAAGAATTTTCGACAACCACAACAGGACTAACGTGGAAATGCCGCAACAAATATCGTTATAAAAGTTGAAAACACATTAAAAAAACATTCACAAAAAAAGATAAGCCAGTTAATGATCACAAAAAGGTCGCTTTCCCTTTCACTCATTTAAAATGACATTGTTGAAGCAATGATATCCAAACACCAAAACACTCATTGTGTACCAAAAGAATGCTGCTTAATATTCTAACTAGAATGAACAGGGTACTCATTAACATTCATTTAGGTAATTACCTTTTCATTAAATATCATTGGCACATCATTAGAATATAGTTAATTATCACAATTACGTGCAAAATATTTAATACACACTTCCATATTATTATATAAGAATATTATGACCATGACGTATTTCTCTGCTCACCGTTTATAGCAATTTTAATTTAAATCAATTCATAATAATGACTGAAATCCGCTGTAAAATAGTCGACTGCGTAATTGAAACGCGTTTCCCTTTTTCTGACATTTTGATGGTTTTCAGGAAACTTGTCGTGTCGTAGATTTTACAGCTGTTTCTCTACAAAAGCCAAAATTTATTGTTAACGTGGAATACAATGGTGAAAGAAATATCCTCCTGTCTGCATACTTAAAAGAGTTATTACAAGATTAACAATTTAAGAATTTTAAGTCTGAGAACACTCAAGTAAATTATCAGTTGCGCAGACGATGCTAATTATACTGTAGAATCTTAAAAAGTTGACAAAAGAAATTGCGACACAAATCACCACTTTCGTGAATTTTTTATTTTTGGTAGAATTTGGTTGCGAATCGTCTGTCCTATTCTTTGTTTTTGTCTGCGGCATGTTCCTTTTTTCGGTGGCCTGCTTCCCTTGAACTATACTGTCTGATATTTCTGAAATAATCCCATCCTGTGATATTATCGCGCCCAAAATAATTCCATTGTTAATACACTTTCATTCCTTCGTTCTATCTACCATTCGATCACATCCTGGTCTCATCAGTTCAGAAGAATTTCTCATACTTTAAGATGCACATATTAAAGTAATTTCAACAAATAGCTCTGTGATTGTGTTCATGACCCATATTTTTACTTTTACATTTGACTTTTTGTTACACTTGTTCGGATTTATCATTGCCACGAGAACATGTAATTTACTTTTTTTTGTGTTGAGAAGCCTGTCAGGTCGATTTGGAGCACAGGCGGGTTCAAGTTTGACACTCGAACCTCAAAAACCTAATTAGACTGCATGTTTTTGCACAAAAGGTTGTTGCTACGCAATAACGAGTGCGATTATCATCACCAAATTTCAAAACTAATGAAGTTTTTTCGCGATTTCAATCAAAGTTTTAAGCGATTCTTTATGCAAGTTTTGGTGTAGAAAATGAGATCGCTGGAAAAATGATCTGATAAAAAATTAAATGAGCAAGTCGAAGTCGACCATGCCTAATGGTCGGAAATAAATATTCCATCACGCAACGGATCATTAAATCGTTCAATGTGTGTGTTCCTCTCGATGGTAACAGGAGTTGTTATCAATTTATCTTGTTCGGTTTTGTCGTACTTTTGCTTTTAACACTCCTTTTCAACGGTATGATAATCTTTCAAATGTCAGAATCAAAACTTATTAAGGAATGGAATTATTTGAATAATACGAGTATAATGTAGCAATAAGAGTTATAACACACCTTAATCGTTCCAGTTTTTCCTCCATTTTAAAATTATTCAAGAATTTTGTGTTGGGATTTTCTGTTCCATTAGTTGAGGTTTTTTGGGCGACGATTTGTTGCTACTTGTATTAAACTGTTTTTAATGCTTTAGGATATTTATTTATCTTAATTATAACTTTTATAATGTTATGTTCATAGCTAAAAATAGCAGCCAAATAACTGTAGTTTGACAATTATTTGTCTGCTATTTTTTTTTAATTTCAGTTACAAAAGTTTCTAAGGATTACTGCGAAATAACCAAGATTCACTATTACACATCGTATGAGCTTGACATAATTACCCATTTAAGTACAAAACAAAAAAGAATCGGTATTTATTTATAATTTTAACATTTTTTACTGATTCTGGGTAATATAGCCCAATTATCCTTTGTTCATGTGACATTTAAAAATAGTACAGAATTTTTGAAAATGAAAGTAAAATGTTCCTTTTAGAGGTAGTATTGAGAAGCTCACTGCTATTTTTGACAGTTAAGCCGTATTTTACTTCGTTCTTTGAAAATCACGGAAGTTATTATTTCGTTTTTTAGAAGTAGTATAATACAGATTGCTCTAATCCTTGGTGAATAATTCTAGGAATATGATAGTATTTCTGTTTAGAAATAGCATAGTGGAGCTAACTTACTCACTGAAACTAACTAGAAGATTAAAGTGTGTTTGATTATTAGAAGTAACAACAAGACCTCAGTACAACACACTTTAGTCGTTGAAAAATTTTAGGATTTTTGTTTAGAAGCAGCAGAGTTAATTTCCCCATTAAAGCAAACTAGAAGAAAACCAAATTCTGTTTTAATATTAGAAGTAACAAAAATACCCTTAGCAAACAAATGCAGTTTCATTTTTAGAAGTAGTATTATGTAACTTTTTTCGTTTGCTGAAAAATCTAGAGAACATGATATTATTTCTTTTTAAAAGCAGCATAAAAAGCTGTCTTTAAGAAACTCTGTTCGTTTTTAGAAGTAGTATAATACAGATTGCTCTAGTCATTGGACAATAATTCTAGGAATACGAAGTATTTCTGTTTCAAAATAGCAATGTAGAGCTAATTTACTCATTAAAACCAACTAGAAGACTAAAGTGTGTAATATTAGAAGTGACACAAGAATTTTAGGGAAGAAATGCTGTTAGTTTTTAGAAGTAGTATAATACAATTTGCCTTTTGGCTGAAGAATCTTGAGAACACAGCAGTATTTCTATTTGGAAGCATCCCAAAAAAGCAAGTTTTCTCATTAAAACAATCTTAAAAATCAAATTGTGTTTTATTATTAGAAGTCACAAAAAAGATCCCAGGGACTAAATGCTGTCTGTTTTCAGAAATAATATAATACAGTTTGCTTTAGTCGTTGAAAAATTTTAGGGACACAGTAGTATTTCTATTTAGAAGCAGAAAAGTTAACTTCCTCGTTAAGACAAATTAGAAGAAAACCAAATTTTGCTTTAATATTAGAAGTAACAAAAATATCCTAAGCAAACAAATGCCGTTTCATTTTTAGAAGTAATAATATGTAACTTGTTTCGCTAGCTGAAAAATCTCTAAACCATGATGGTATTTCTATTTAGAAGCAGCATAATAAAGTTATCTTTGTAAATAAAGGAATCTTCAAGACTTAATTGTGTTTTAATATTAGAAGTAACAAAAAGAATCCCATGGAATAAACGCTGTTCGTTTTTAGAAGTAGTATAATATAACTTTTCTTTTTATTGAATAATTTTGGAAACGCAGCAGTATTTCAATTTAGAAGTATCCTAAAAAAGCGAATTTTCTCATTAAATTAATCTTGAAAATCAAATTGTGTTTTATTATTAGAAGCAACAAAAAAAATCAGGGAATAAATGCTGTTTGTTTTCAGAAATAATATAATACAGTTTACGTTAGTCGTAGAAAAATTTTAGGGACACAGTAGTATTTCTATTTAGAAGCAGAAAAGTTAACTTCCTCGTTAAGACAAATTACAAGAAAATCAAATTGTGTTTTAATATTAGAAGTAAGAAAAATATCCTAAGCAAACAAATGCCGTTTCATTTTTAGAAGTAATATTATGTAACTTGTTTCGCTCGCTGAAAAATTTCTAAAACATGATGGTATTTCTATTTAGAAGCAGCATAATAAAGCTATCTTCGTAAACAAAGGAATTTTGAATACTTAATTGTGTTTTAATATTATAAGTAACAAGAATAATCCCATGGAGTAAACGTTGTTCGTTTTTAGAAGTAGTATACTATAACTTTTCTTTTTGTTGAATAATTTTGGAAACGCAGCAGTATTTCTATCTAGAAGTATCCGAAAAAAGCGAATTTTCTCATTAATCTTGAAAATCAAATTGTTCTTTATTATTAGAAGCAACAAGAAAAAATCAGAGAATAAATGCTGTTTGTGTTCAGAAATAATATAAATAAAGCTTGTTTTAGTCGTTGAAAAATTTTGGGGGCACGGTAGTATTTCTGTTCAGAAGCAGAAAAGTTAACTTCCTCGTTAAGACAAATTAGAAGAAAATCAAATTGTGTTTTAATATTAGAAGTAAGAAAAATATCCTAAGCAAACAAATACTGTTTCATATTTAGAAGTAATATTATGTAACTTGTTTCGCTCGCTGAAAAATCTCCAAAACATTATGGTATTTCTATTTAGAAGCATAATAAAGCTATTTTCGTAAATAAAGGAATCTTGAAGACTTAATTGTGTTTTAATATTAGAAGTAACAAAAAGAAACTCATGGAATAAACGCTGTTCGTTTTTAGAAATAGTATAATATAACTTTTATTTTTGTTGAATAATTTTGGAAACGCAGCAGCATTTCTATTTAGAAGTATCCTAAAAAAGCGAATTTTCTCATTAAAATAATCTTGAAAATCAAATTGTGTTTTATTATTCGAAGCAACAAAAAAAATCAGGGAATAAATGCTGTTTGTTTTCAGAAATAATATAATACAGTTTACGTTAGTAGTAGAAAAATTTTGGGGGCACAGTAGTATTTCTGTTTAGAAGCAGAAAAGTTAACTTCCTCATTAATACAAATTAGAAGAAAATCAAATTGTGGTTTAAGATTAGAAGTAAGAAAAATATCCTAAGCAAACAAATACTGTTTCATTTTTAGAAGTAATATTATGTAACTTGTTTCGCTAGCTGGAAAATCTCTAAAACATGATGGTATTTTTATTTAGAAGCAGCATAATAAAGCTATCTTCGTAAATAAAGGAATCTTGAAGACTGAATTGTGTTTTAATATTTGAAGTAACAAAAACAATCCCATGGAATAAACGCTGTTCGTTTTTAGAAGTAGTATACTATTACTTTTCTTTTTGTTGAATAATTTTGGAAACGCAGCAGTATTTCTATTTAGAAGTATCCTAAAAAAGCGAATTTTCTCATTAACATAATCTTGAAAATCAAATTGTGTTTTATATGCTGAATAAATGCGGTTTGGCCGGAAAATTACACATTTTTGAGGTTAATTTAACAATATTTAAATAAATTGAATTGTTTTTAATAACTTGATGTTTGTAGAAAAGTGGTTTGCGGTTTAATTATGACGTATTAATGCTTATCATATTTAAACAGTATAAATAATGTTAATTATGTTTAAATAATATTTATTCCTCGGAAAAGCTATCCGCCTTGATTGGCCAACTTAAATCGTCTTCCAAAATTTCTCAAAAATTTAGAGATTTGTCAAAATACAAATTTCAGACTCTTCTAAATTAAAACTCAAATCACTTACCCCGTTTTCAGTTCTTTTTGGAAAAATATCCACATTCCGTCGTGTTCTGAACACTAATACAGCACATTTTCACTAATATTATTTATTGACAATAAATTAAAATTTCGCCAACACGTACTACTTTTAAGCCGAAACGGAGCTCCGAATGCAATGATGTTGCTGCCACCAGACCAAAATCAAAGCTGAATACAAAGGACCGAAAAATGTGACCTTTGCTCAGGTAGCTCACGTGACAGTGACGTCATCGTACGTCACGGTGAGATTGCAAAAATTGTTTTTCATGTTTTGGCTGGAAAATTGCAAATTTTTGGAGTTAAATAATTTAACAATATTTAAACAAATTGAATTGTTTATAATAACATCACGTCTGTAGGACAACGGTTTTTACTTATCACTTTTATACAGTATAATTAATGTTAATTATGTTTAAATATTATTTATTCCTCGGAAAAGCTATCCGCTTTGACTGGCCAACCTAAATCGTCTTCCAAAATTTCCCAAACATTTAGAGATTTGTCAAAATACGAATCACGGACGTCGATAAATTATAACTCAAACCACTTATCCCGTTTTCGGTTCTTTTTGGAAAAGTATGCACATTCCGTCGTGTTCAGAACACTAATACAGCACGTTTTCAATAATATTTATTAGCAATAAATTAACACGCCGAAGTTGTCGCCATCAAATCGAAATTAAAACTGAACACAAAGGACCGAAATAGTAACCTTTGCTCAGGTAGCTCACGTGACAGTGACGTCATTGTACGCCACAATGAGATTACAGAAATTATTTATCATATTTTGGGCTTGGAAATTGCAATTTTCGGGGTTAATTCAACGATGTTTAAACAAATTGAATTGTTTTTAATAACTTGATGTTTGTAGGAAAACGGGTTTCGGTTTAATTATGACATATTAATACTTATTATATTTAAACAGTATAAATGATATTAACCATGTTTAAAGATTATTTATTCATCGGAAAAGCTATCCGATTGGCTGGCCAACTTAAATCGTCTTCCAATATTTTCCAAGAATTTAGAAATTTGTCAAAATACGAATTACAGACTCCGATAAATTAAAATTCAAACCGTACTTACCCCGTTGTCGAACCTTTTTGGAAAAATATTAGCTTTCTTTCGTGTTCACAGCACTAACGCAAAACATTTTCACTAATATTTATTAGGAGTAAATTAAAGCTTCCCGAACACGTATTATTTTTAAGCCGAAACGGAGCTCCGAATGCTTCGATGTTGCTGCCACCAGACCGAAATCAAAACCATTAGCGTAAGGCATCTTGATTGTGGTCTAGTGGTTACGAGTCAGGAATGCGGACGGGACATCGCGCGTTCGATTCGCATTGGCCTTTCGTTTCTTTTTTTCGTGTATTATTTATGTTTATGAGGTCATAACAAATTTTTTACTCGCCTCTCTTTATTTAATAATGTAAAACCGTTTTTTTTAATGTGAAACCTTTTCGGGGGTTCCTACTGCCCTTTTACAAGCGTAAGCTAAGGAAGTATAGTAATCGAGTCCACTTTAATGTTTTCTCCTTGTGTCATGGCCTCTAGAATACGAAAAAGTGGACTACCGTTTCCGTCTGTCTGTCTGTCTGTCTGTCTGTATCCATTTTTATCAGGCAAGTAATCTCCGAAACACTACACACATTGTTGTCAACTAAAATTTGGATATTCATCCCCACCAGCAATGGGATGACGTCATTTCCAAAATTTGTAATAAAAAGTTTTTTTTAATTTCCGAAAACAAGATATTCCTGCAATTGTGGTGTGCGAATCAGCGTCGAAATTTCACCTTAGTCGTCCAAATTTTTTGGAAAAAATTCAAAACTGAATGACAATATTTGGCAATATAACTTTGAAACTCAATACTTCGTACGCAACTGTAACTGCAAACGTGATAATTTAGTCTTAACCTATCATTAAACTCAGCATTTATTATAAATTGACCGATAGAATAATAAAATAGCCAATATTAAAGGGCGCATGTACCAATGAAAAAAAAATGATCTAAAGTTATTTAGACAGAAGTTCACAAATCCAGTTTTTTGCAAAATTGTATTTAATATATCGACGAAACGAAACGTGGAAAATATTGCACAAAAAAATGTTTGCAAAGTAATTGTGTTACAAATCAAGGCGGATTCATAAACCACGAGTACAAGTATATTATTTTATAAAATTGAAATAACGTTTAGTACGGAAAAAGATGACGGGACGTCATTTTTTAAACAATAATGATCCTTAATGTAATCCACGTGATTCGCGCACAACACAGTTACAAAAGCATCCACAAATCGTGCAAATAGTTGAATAAAGAATGACTAAACTTTGAGCGCATTTTAAAGCACTTCGTTGGATCTGTTAAGGTAACTCATATGTAGCGCTGTTTTGACAGTGATCATCAAAGAACCAGAAGGCCTCTTTTTTCGGAAAATTTTGAAAATACGCCACAACGTGTTACAAAGCTGCTTCAGAGGCGCACGTATTCTCAGCGTTGGGCAGCGTTTGTTGTGCTTGTCCTTTCCGGAACTCGACGGCGATCCGGGGCGTCGGTTTGGTCCGGGATCTCGCACGAATATCAGTTGAAGTGGTTTAGCGAGGGCGGTTGGCAAGGTCTTCGGCATTTTGCGAAGTGAATGCTCTATTGTGAAGGGAAAATACAATCCGGTGGGGAATTAGTTTTCTCTCGGGGCCCCCACTGAAACGTTTCACTTAAGAACAACTTTTTGATTCAATACCGACCCAGTCAGTTCGAGCACGTGTTGCGATAACTTCGCTTGTTGCGCGTTCTCGCCGTCACATTTGGGGAGAATTTTCGTTCCGGTATATACATGGGGAAGTGTTTTTAGCTCCTGCGTGTGACATTGTATCTGGATTACCATAAGTGCGCTCTGTGTGGAAATGGTTACGCTGTTCACCACCGTTATACTTCTGCTGGCTTCTCTTGGTGAGTCTAGATCTAGAGTTAGAAGATAAGATAGTTTCGGTCCAATGTATGAGTATTTTGATTCTGCTGTGCACACATACATTGTGGCACGCGATCAAGATCGGTGCTGGTGTTGGGTATTGAGGTTTCTGGGAAGCTAGACCCAAACAGCTGATGGTGTGTATTGTTGTTGCACATGCTACCACTGGACTGCTTGCGGCTAGTCAACCTTATTTAGCGTAAAGTGAAACTAAACGCCTCATTAAATTCTGATCTTTTTTAACATCATCTACCCTTATCCAAGACTTTGTGTACTAGAAAGCAAGGTCGCTCGTAGAAACTTGAAGAATTTATTATATGTCAAGGCTAGTATGCACTCGACAATGCAAAAATCGAACAAATGCACTATTGCTCGAAATTATCCACACAAAGATAATTTAGGAGCGAAACGTGACGAAATTAATTTTTTGCAAAGTGGGCGACCGTGAGGTCCTGTATCGAAGACCCTGACATTTAGACACCCTCAGGCGGCTAGAAATTTTGGGAAACAACCCAAGCTGACAAAATTTTGTTTACCCAAAATCGTGAATGTGAAAGTCGCGCTGCCAATTAGAAATGGATAAGAAATAATTAAAACGAGGAAAAAACTATCACAGTTGACAAGTTTGCATAAACGGGTTTCCATAATTACGATGGTGTCCGTGGTGTTATATAAGGCCTTAGCTACCAAGAATAGCCGGCAAAGTCGCATACATTTGAACAACGCATCCGCTCCACTAGCATCTTCCATGAACTTGAATAAAGAAAGGGAAAGGCCGATAATGAAAGTACTTTAATCTAGATGAAGCAAATCGCAAAATTGCTTTACATCAAGATCGGAGAGAAAGTGTTTTCGATTTTTATATTCACGGAATTTTGTAACCAATGAAGTGTCAAAATTCACTCCAAATGTCAGCATGAAATTACCCAACAAAAACGCACTTTGTTCCTTAATTGAACAATCCGGTGCGTCAGAATATGACATAGTGCAACACGTTACATACCTGACCTTTCGCATAACTATGGATCTTGGTTAGGTAATCGCCCGCCTCGGGCGCAAAACGTCGCTTAAAATCATTGTTTATGTTCCTATTTAATCATCAGATGATATCTACGACCGTGGTGATTTATCACCATCACGAAAATTTACTACCACCTCCCACTTTTCTTAAGTCAACTAATTAGCTGCTCATCTGATCTGACCCACATCCTTATCCAATGCTGAACATCGATCTTCGCAACGTCTGATTGCTTCATTTTTTATTTTTGTGTGAAAACACGCGTGGAGCGAGAAGGTCGCGCCAAATCGCAGTATTAAACTCGCGCGGCAATTGCAAAAAATGTACGAAATTGTTGCATAATGGCGATATTTATTGAAGATGATTTCCCATCCACTGTTATTTCTCACGACATATTATCTAATATTACACTTTCTATTAATTGTTCGACTCATCTCAAATTGATAAAATTTTGACGACTATATACAGATACAATAAAAAGAGCGTAAGACACTCAAAGGCTTCCTATTACCATCGTCGTAATGGAAAGGATTATGCATTAAATAAGCGCAAAATTGAAACTTGTACGATGAATTAATAAACAACGCGACACGTGGAGCGTGATGTAATAAATTTTAACTAACAGTTTTATTACCTAACCGGCTTTTTGACACTTCGAGCTCCACAATTCGTTACTTGTCCAAAAAAAACACAGATAGTAACACACAAATACCTTGGAAGCGTGAGTCTAGACAGCTTGAGAAAGGAAAGACACATAAAAAATGCCGCAACTTTATTAAAAATTACCATGTTAAATTCTCTCCTTTCAACTTGTGACATAGTTCAGAGTGTTACTTCGATCATTTACGTCGCACTTTCTACACTTTTAGTAATATCGTGGATTAAACCCAAGTGAAATTATCAGTTTCGTTTCTTAGCTAACTGTCAAAATTCAAGTTTATTAAACAACGTTGCTACAAACTACAACTTATATACACAATTAATCATATTTATTAAGATAAAATCTATTAATTAACTGTAAAGGTCTTGAATAAGAATTGCAAATTTCGCAGGAAATTAGCTACACCCGCAGTTTGCATCTCTTTCTAATATTTCCAACTTTATTCAGACACTGTCACTGTACAAATTTAATCATCAAAAAACTAGTTTTTTGTTAAGAAACCGGAGCTCGCGGAGCGAGCGACGCGTTTTTCAATTAAATAAAACCACATGTGAGCCTTAGATTTACGTTTAATAGCGATGTGATTTTTGTGCTTTAGATGTCGTATTAACCCACTTTTCTCGATAACTGGTCGAATACAAGAAATCGTGCACATATCCATAACGACTGAGAGGAAGTCTGCGCCGCTTTCGTGCCCCTAATGATCAAAAAACCAAAAACTGAAGCAGACGTTAATTACGTTTGCGTTATTTTTCTTTCCCGGTCGTCGTTAAGTAAAAATGTAAATAGAGAGAAAGCGATTGATTTTGTTTTATTTGGGCAATGTCGAAACTCCCTCGCACAGGCTGAAAATACGCGGATCGTTGAAATTTGCGCTTTCTATATCAGATTTGCCAACCTTTACCCCTACATTCCGGTGTAGTTTCTATTATTAAAATCCGGATGGAAAAGTTCATGTTCATGTGTCGCATTTTAATCGTAATATCGTACAGCGTACATGTGTAGAAGCGACGTGACGCGAATTAAAAATAATAGAGTGAAGCTCATAATAAAACAAAAACGGGAAAAATCAGGTTAATGGTATAATTTTCACAAGCCGTTGTTAATTAATTTTAATTGTATTTAAAATATTTGGTGTTTTTAATTCGCTTTAAGGCGACTTGATGAGACGCCGTTAGAGTTCAAGTTTCTTAATGAGAGAATTAAACAATACAATAACCTTAAAATATCGTAATTATCTAGTATAATAATAACGATATAATTGACAATGGTTGTGTAATCGTTTTGTATAATTGTGGTGCCTATTGTGCAAGGAACATAATCCCATAAATGTGATTTTCACGCTCATTGCTAATTAATCATTTTTAAAAATGTAAACAACGCCAAGTTTCTTCCATTTTTATTCCTTTCACTCTCTTCACGTTTGTCCTACACGCACTTTTGACTTAAGTCACGCCGCGTGCATTTAAATCAGCTCTACTTTGTGGCACAGTGAAAGTAAAGTGGGTAATGAGTGTAGCGTTTTGACATAAGGGCACTTAAGTCGGTTCTAGGAATTCCACTACGTACGCATATATTTCTTTTCAAGGTATCGATTAATTTATGCGAATGTTGGAATTTTCAATTTATTAGGTTTTTATTCGATACTGATATGTCCCAATAAACGTCTAATCTTGACATTAAAAAAAACTATAATTTTCTTGAGAACAAGTTCTGCTGACCTATTCTATTCAACTAAGTATGAAAAAATTGGTTGCAAAATTCTGCTGCTATATTTTGACGGATACAAAGTCGGTGGAAACTTGAGCCAACGAAGGAGAATATATACATAAATGATATGTTGAAACGATTAATTTTTCTAACTGTATCACCAAACGCCACACTTTCACTATGCTACTTATTAGAGTTTCGTGCTATACAGACACGAACAGTATGAATAAAGATGTAAATTTATAGCTACTAAACATTTAAGTAAAATGATCCTATTTTCATAACGCAGTATATAATTTTATTAGTATCCAAAAATATATTATTATTTTTTTAGGTCAATTTTCTCCCAATAAATTATTATTATTATTATTATTATTATAACAAATAACACCTAATCATAACCACCTACCTTAACTGATCAACAATCCAAACCATGTTATTTATGCACATTTAATTGTACCGTTGCAACACGCCTACGTCAAGCTTAAATCGATAAAGAGATTAGAAGTGTTATGGAGGTCAAATTGGCTAACCTCATGATAGATCACTTGATTATAAATAAGATGATTTTTTTTTGTTTCGTGTCTATATACAAACTTTTAACATTTATGAAAAATAGAAATACAGTCGAACTTCGTTATAGCGAAATTAGTTCAAACACGACATTGTTGCTTTAGCAACATTCTCCAGGTAATGACGGGTTTCCGGGTCATGCAGCGGCCGTTTTAAACACGTAATCATTTTCGCGTATTTTACTTGGCGCCATTTTTAAAGATGGCAGCAACCGGTGAGGACAATAAAGGTGGCAACCTTTCAATTCCTTACGTAAAATCTGTTGCGTAGGTGCGGCTTGGCTCATTAAAATCTCCTATTGCAATTTAATAATCATATAAGAACAAAATGTAAAACCGTAGAAGCAATAAAATGTGATAGTTTAGAAAAACATACGAAACACACACGTGGCCACGCCTACTTGGTAAAATCTTGTGATTGTGACATTCCATCATCAGGAATAAATCACCGCAGGAATTTTGCCTTCGATGAATTCCACGACTACAAGGTGTCCAAAAAGGTTAATCCGATCCCGGAAAGAATGCACTTGTTAATTAATTGATCGCATTTTAATGACTTGGATTTCCAAAATTTATGTATGTAAATGAAGGTGGTGGTAGACAGTTATAAATTTCAAGGATTTTAAAAGACAAAATCAGGAATTAAATAATTAAGGTGATTACATTGTTACTCGACTGGTCTGAATTACCTTAACATTTAAAAATTACGCTCGCTGTTAATAATGTCGGTTTCAACAGCAAATCGTGCTCGCACTGTGGATTTAGTTAAGCAAGACGTGTTCTAAAGAGAAATTGCACAAATTTCTTCACTTATTATAGACGGTAGAGGAAGTTGGGAAATGATCGTTTTAGGGGAGTGAGTCGGTTGACTACTTTATTTAAATAATCTGTATCAGTCGATTGGAAATTCGCACGTAACTTCAAGAACACCATACAGTCGAACAACTAGAGCATGACCATACACTGCAAGGGGAGAAATTGTCTTTGATTATCATATTTATAGATAAGTTTACTCCAAGT